GCATGAGCCACAGTCCTGGGCTGGAAGGGCATGGCAGTGCATCAAATAACTCATTTTAGCCTAGTGTCTTCATATTACAGAGTGGGACTGATCCCAGGGAGATGCCTTCTGGTCACACGTGAGCCACACTGCTGTTGTTCCTTGCTGTTAAGAAATAAATATGTGGGGAGGGCGCTGAGAGGGAGACAATGTGGGCAATGTAAATAATGTACACTGTAAGACTAATCAGCATTATCACTACAAATCACTCCCTGTTTAATGTATATATCCTAATAAAAAATTATAATAAAAAAGAAATATCCTAAGAGTGCTCCTTCAGTTTTAAAAAGGCATCATTGCTGTTCCATTATTTGCTTGAATGTGGACAAGTAAAACAAAACAAAACCACAAAGGCTTAAGAGTGTTTTTAGAAGAGAATGAAGCCTTAGTAAGAAGAAGGCTATAAGCACCAGCCCCTGGGCTCTCTTCCCTCCAGGGACACTAGGGTTAGGAAGGGTGGCAAATCAGTCACCATCACCCAGATTCACCAACAAGCCTCCAGAACCCTTGAGTGGCCCTAAATCTGCATGGAAGCTGGAGAGGAGCATAAGCCTGTCTCAGATCTGCTGGGGCTCACAATTTAGTAAGTACCTTCAGAGTGTAAAAGCTTAATTTACCCTCAGTTCAGTTCAGCCAACATTTATTGAATACCAACCATGTGTCAGACCTCTGTCTATGTATTATTTCATTTAAACAGACAGTGCACTGATGCTTTGCAAATAAACAACCTGGTGCTATCTGAGAGGAGAATTAAGTTCCCCAGCCAAAGGCACAGCTGAGCCTTTCTTCAGGAACCCTTATTCTAGGGCTTCAAATGAGAAGCAGATGTTAACTCTTAAAAGACTTTTCAAAAAAGACATTTTCACATGTACTAGCAAACCATGTTTATAGTTTTATCAGTTGACTAAACAGGAAACCTTTTCGCTTTAAAAACAAAAAAAGTTAAACAGAGTTAAGATGGATTTTGGAGGGGTGGGGAAGGCTTTCATAAGCGAAAGATAGCAAGTTGAGACCTGTCTGCCTCTCCAAAATCCAAAACCCCAGGCCAAATGGTAAATGGCCAGAAGGAAAGGTGCAGTCTCCAGACACTGCCAAGAGTGGCAGGTAGAGCCTAGAAATATGTCTTGTGAAATAACACTGTAAACAGGCAACTGCAAACCAATACCATAAAATGCTACTTCAACCTTAAGAATAGCAAATTAAAAAAGTGTCTAAGTTCTAAGGGGTCTACAAACACACCTTTTGACCCTTGGACTTTTAACTCCACCATGAAATTGGATTCCAAAGCAATAGTTCTCAAAGTGTAGCCTGGCAACCTCAGAATCCGAGACCCTTTTGCAGAAGGAGTTCTGTGATGTTAATTTATAATAACATCATATTTTTACTTCCCTTTCTATTCTCATTTTCTTGTGAATGTACAAAGTGAGTTTTCCAGAGGCTACTGATGTGGGACATTACAGAATAATGAATGAGAAGCAAATAGGAGAATCCAGGTCTTCTATTAAGAAGATTTGCAAAAATACCATTCAAGTTTCTGAATGGAAACTTTTCATAAAAATACACATTACATATGTTAATACCCAACAGGCTTTTCTATATAGTAGCAATAGATACAAACCACAAACAAAAGCTTTTACAGCATTCTCCAGAAATCTGAAGAGTGTAACAGGACTCCTGAGACCAAAAAGTTTGAGAACCCCTGCTCTAGAGAAATATATTTTATACAAAGAAGCACAGATAAGGATGTTCACTGAACCACTGCTTGTAACAGAAAAAAGTGGCATGAACTTCTGTGTCATAACAGAACAATTACATAAGCTGAAATATAATCACACTATGGAAAGTTACACCCTTTTTCAAAAGAATGAGGGAGCACTACATGCACTCACATGAAACATTTCCAAGACAAACTAAAGATAAAGGAGCAGATTACAAAATATTCTATTTAAATATTAAGTTAAAATGCTAATAACGTTTTTTCCATAGAAGCAAAGAGAAGTGTCAAAGAATATACACTAAACAATAAAATGGTTGGTTACAAACACACACACACACACACACACACACACAGGCATATGGTATTTGGCAAATTAAAATTAACCTGGAAAATTCCCTCCACTGCCACAGCAGCAGTGTCATAGTGTGATGGTGGGACGTGCCTTCTGGGGCTGACACTGCAAACCCCTCTGGACAGTCAAATTGTACCCTGAAACAAGACCACCCTGCCAGCTGACACACCAAGTCCATGGACAACCTGCTCCTGCTTTACCTGAGAACACTCGCCAGCTGCTATATCTATCTGGAAGCTGTAATTTTTCTCAAAGATTCACTTTATTTGACCCCATCCAAAATTTGTTACATCATAAAATCACACAGACAGTAACAACAGCTGTGACAAAATATGAAAAGTGGGTAACTTTAATGATGCCCCCAAATGTAGAAATGAGTATTCCTCGTAACTATCAAAAAGAAGAAAGTCCAATTGTTGAGATAACCTGACAAGTTCCCAGTAAGGACCCTGCTTCCTATTACTGAATAGCCTTTCAAATATTATCAGAATGGCCAAGTATTTTTATGAGAAGAGAGCTACATACAGAACAATACAAATATCCCTAAAATAAGCTCATTTCCCTAGGGGTTGGCTATATAATAACAAAATCATAATATATCAGTGGATATGGGTTGAATTCCCCAACAGTCTTGACATTCCATTGAAAGAACAAAACAGGCTGAAATGATAAGTGTGCAAGTAAAATTATTAATTATATTGGAAAAATAAATGGATAATTAAAAATAAACCTGCTCTAAGGATGGCCTATGTCAGTCTAATTATAATGGAATTTTAAAAAATTTAAAATGTGCAGAATTTAGACCAAAAGCATTTTTCATCAAGTCGTACCAAAACAAAATTCAAAGGTATCTGAAATCTGGTATTGTAGATATTTTTTTCAATGGTTGTAGCATATTTTTAAATTGCTATTATCATTATGAAATGTTTTATTTGTCATTTCATATTTCTTGCTCTTATTGTTATTCTAAGTTGGCTCCAATAATACTACACAGAACTTTCAAATAATTTTTGATGGAATTTGTTTTAATTTTAATTTTTCAAGGGATATAAAATTCTTCTTAGAGACAACATAATAACAGTCAGTATCCAAAAATGCTAAAATCCTATTGACATTCCTGCTCATTGTTTATTTGCCCACACTTTACTTGAATACCTACTTTGTATCAAATTTTAAGAACATATGGTACAGTCTAGAGGGGAAGACAGAATTCAACAAATAACTACCTAACTGCAACTAGCATTAAGTGTTAGAAGGGAAGCTTACAGGGTGTGGTAAAACATGTTATCAGGAAGTCCAACTCAAAGTCGCAATTTGACCCCTGAAATGGGTCATTTCTTCCTTAAAACCAGGAACACATCAATATGCCCCTTCCGAACCTCTGACAGCTGCATGTAAAGGGAGTCAGAGCTAGATGGTGCTACTTACTTGAACTAGTAACTCAGGAATGTAAAACCATCCTGACAAATGACTTCATCTTTCTGGAAACCACTACTGTTCTCATGTCCTTTTCTTTCAGTGTTGGGAGGAGAGAAGCATTTGCAAAGATTTATGTATAAACAAGCTTTATGTGTAAGAGTACAAATACTGAATGAACCTAAGTATCCATCAGTAGCAAACTGCTTAGATAAATTCTAGTAAGAATATACCACACTGCAGGATGCTAATCTGCCCATCTTATAACAGTGAGGCAATACCTCTATATTGACATGGAAAGCTCTCCAAAAGACAGTAAGTGAGAAAAAGCAAACTACTATAGCATGATGCACTTTGTTTAAAAAATAAAATATGGTATACAAATACAGAATACAACATAGTATACAATGTAGCATTGTATACTGTATTGATTCCAAGAAAGGGGGTGGTAAGGCTGTACAAAGTGTCCACTGTGGTTACCTCTGGCATATGGCATGCGTCCTTTACCATGAGAATACTTGTAGGTTCTGCTTGTGAACTAAAAATAAGACAAAAACATTCACAAGATAAAATGTCTACCCAACAGGAGCCTCTCTGGACTGTAGATGTCCTTCACTTGGTTTTTTGGTTTGAGGATGTGCTCTTATAGGACCTAGGCAATGAGATCCTAAATACTGTTACAGATGCCCCTTAAAAGAATCAACCAGCTTTGCCAGCTCGCACACACTGAAAACTAGCCTGAGGATATTCGCAATAACTGCCTAAATCCAGTCACAATAAAGCAGATGACATCAACCCCCGGGGCTGCCAGCTCCAGCCTCAGTTACGGGAAACACAGGGAAATTAAGATAGAGGCAGAGCTGCCTCTGCCTCACTGGGGCTGGCCCAATGTGTGCCCTGTAATGATAGCACAGGGCAGAGTTAACATGAAGAAACACATCCCTCCCTGTCCAGAAATGAGGCTGTCCACTGGGAGGACAGTGGGAAAGGGTGGCAGGGGAACAAGGATCCCTGGCTGACCACACATCCTTTCCCCTGGGGTCTACAGGCTGCCTTCACTGCTCATTTGGTCCAGCCAGCCTGGGTTCAGGCCAAGAAACATCCTCACAGGAGCCTAGGGTACTTCTCTCCCCAAGGTACCCAGAGGTTATGGTACCCAAAATTAAAGAAGTCCTAAGGCAGTACACTGGGCCTGACACAACCTTAAGTCTAGGGCATCATGGACCATGTCTGTCAAAAGACTCCAAGAACATGGCAGGGAACAAAAGAACTGAGGAGTAGGATATGAGCAGAGTCAACGGGATACAAATGATGCAACTGGGCCTATTCTTCCCAATCTGCACGCCCACTGTTGGGAGCACTACCGGGGCATTCCAAAATTCAGGATGAAATACAATAAAATCACATCTCACCAGACCCGACAGCCCTCGATAACGCAGCCCAGCGCTGGCCGCTGTGCCGCCCCCCTACTCTTACCAATGGAGATCTCCTGCGCGAAGGCCAGCGAGATGAGCAGCAGAGGCAGCCCCACCGCGATGCATGTGACCATCTTGTCCACCGCCAGCTCCAGCCGTAGCCCCTTGAACTTGGGCTCGGTGGGCTCCTTAAGCAAGAAGTCCGAGAACACGTACTCCGTAGCCAGGTGGGCGATGGCCATGGCTCCTGAGACTCAGCTTCGGCCAGGCAGGCCCACCAGGGCAGCCCGGGTACCGCCGGCGTCGGGAGGGCTGCGCGGCGCCTGCACCCGGTCAGCTGCCCGGCGCGTGGCTTTCGCTTTCCCTTTGCCGGCTCCCCAGCTCCTGCTGCATCTCTCCGACCTTTTGTCTCGGTGCGTCGGTTCCCAGAGACCCAGCCGGAGCCACTGCTGCGTCCCCGCGGTGCCCGGCGAGCTGGGGCCCCGGGGTGCGCGGAGCGCAGGAGCTCGCGCCCCGGCCTCTGTCCGGGCGGCACTGGGACCTGGCGCTCAGACGCGCTGCGGTCCCGCCCCGCGTGCTCAGCCCGCGCCGGTCCCCTGGGGCGCACGACAGCTGGGCGCAGAGCTTTTCTCGCCGCGCCACGAGGCGCAAAAACAACCCCGAAACAACGCACTGACCTCTGGCTCCCGCCCCTCCGCGCCCCAGCCGCCCTAGCTGCCTTGCAGGCGGACCCTCCGCCCGAGCCCAGGGATCCGCGCTCTTCCGGAACCACCGGGGAAACCGAGTGCTCAGGGGCGTGGAGTTTCCGCAAGCCTTGCTGACGCCGGGCGGGGTGGCCCTGAAGCCCGTGCTAAAATAGATCATCCCAGCCAGAGTCCTCAAATTTCTCGTGCCCTTCCCATCTTCATTCGACCGCCTCCTGGTACATGGATTTTTAAAAATTAGGATGTATTCGTTGTACAGGGGGGATTCACTGCGGCAATTCCAAATAGGCTTATATTATACATTGGTTAGATCGCCCCCAGCATCTCTCCCCCTTGATCCCCCTCCGCACCCCACTTCAAGCAGTGCATGAAGTTTCATTCTTGCATTTCCTATAGGTATATGAAGTCCATCAACTACATTCCCTTACCTTAAGCTTTGCTCCCCCTCCCCCTCCCACAAGTACCCACACACACTGTACCGATTTTACAGTCCTGACTTTCATTCATTATAAATTTCTAAGTCAATGTTCAAAGGGATTTCTCTGTCTATCTTCGCTGTGTGTATACTTTACTTTGGTCCGTTCAGTTCCTTCCATTATTCTCCCATCCCGCCTTTTTCAACAGATTTCAATATATTCATTATATCCTCTACTTTCACAGATGTTATGTTTTATGGTATTATTGGTGCTCTTTGTCTTTTCCTTTCCCTCCTTCCATTTCCACAAGCAACCTCTAACCCTATGCATAGGATAGCCTCCTTTCCTGCCTCACGACCAACATTATGGTGTGATACTGGGGATGGAACCCTGGGTCTCTTGCAAGCTAGGAGCCCAGGGCTATATCCCCAGCCCCCACTCCAGCATTTCTACCAGTGAAGTCCATTGAAAGGGAGCTGTAGAAACTTCAAGGAACAACCGGTGCCATAGTAATCAAGCAGAGTAGACATGCATGTTGCAGAGGGACTTCTAGACCTTTCCAGGAGCTCCAGGTGAGAGGGATGCAAAGGAGTGGTTAGGAGTGCTGTGCATCACTGAGTTTCAGGCTTCTATTTGCACTACACACCCCCCATTTGGATAGCTCACAGGACTTCAGTCTTCATCCACTCCTTAAACCTGAATTAGTCTTTCCTGTCTTATTAAATCCACTCATGTGCCCAAGCCAGAAACCAGGAGCATCATCTTTAACACTTTCATTTCTCCCACTTGCTACAACTGATTTCCCAATTCTCTTGCTTCTCTCTCCTAAAAGTAGCAAATCTGAGCCAGGCTTGATGATACAGTCTATAATCCCAGCACTCAGGTTCAGCCTACTATTCTGTCTTCAAACCACACATGCATCAAACCATTTTCCCCATGACTGCCAGTGGGAGCTTTGTAAAGCTCTAATCTGTTCACATAACTCCTCTATTTAAAGAGTGCACTGTTTTTAGGATAAAATCTAAAATTGTTAGTATAGCCACTACTTACCTTCCCTTTGAGTTAAGTTAGTTAGGTTCCTTGTCTCATCCAGGCCTTCCCCTGCCCAAAATTCTACCCAACATTGGCCTCTTTGCCTGATCTTTATTTACTCTCCTAGCCTCAGCTCAATGTGGCCTTCCTAGGAAAGTCTCCCCTGAGTAGACTAAACTAGGTTAGGTACCTTTGTTAAATACTCTCCTAATACTGGCATTCCCCATTACTAGCCAAGGGTCTTGGGGATATTGTGTGACTGTCCTGTGCTTAAGTTTTCTTATCTGTAAAATGCTGATACCTCTTAGGATTGTGGTACCTATGGATCAAATGAGTTAACACAGGTAAAGTGCCTAGGATAGTGCCTGGCAACTGTTGTGTGCTATGTAAAAGTTATCTCTTATTATTGCCCTTTATTTTTCCTTATTAACAATAATCATTATTACAACTCAACAAATATTTGTTTAGCTATTTATTTCATGTTTGTCACCCCTTTTTGCAGTCATCTTCATGAGGGTAGGTCAGTGCCCAGGTATACCACTTTAATCTTCAACATTTAGCACAAATGCCTGGTACATGGTAGGTGTTTTAATCCATGTCATTAAATAAATATCTAAAGGAATCTATTTCACCTTGAAACAAATTTCTTAAAGCAATGATGACATTGCTTTTTACCATTATAAGGTGCAATTAGGGATTAAATTACACATTCTCCTCCCATTTCAGCCTTGCCCCTACCCCTTGCCATAGTTTAATATTAGAAGGAGGCCATGATGAGTTCTGGGACTCACAGCCACTCTCCCAGAATTCTGTTTTGCTTGTTTGAGGTCCTTGACATTTGAATGAGATATTTTGCAACCAAAGTAGTCAAACTCAAAATAATCAAGCTCACTAGACTGTCTGTTCTGTTTAATATTCATTTGAGAAATATTTGCTGATCAGTCGCTATCTATCTGTACTACAGTCTTAATGGCATGCAGCAGTGAGCAAAACAGGTCAAAGGTTGTTGTTTTCACAGAACCTAATTTCCAGTTAAAGAGGCAGACAAAAATCAAGCTAACAGACATCTAAAGTGATTATTTCTATGATAAGTGCTACAAAGGAAACCAGTGTTGGTGGGAAATAAAAGAAGGGACCCACTTTGGAGAAGGCAGCTTGGGGAGCTCACATCTGAACTAGAAAAGTTAGAAAAGGGATGGGGATGCTGAAGAGGAAGTAAAGGGAGGGAATTTAAGGCATAGAAAGGAGAGTGCCAAAGGCAAAGCTCTGAGATCTCTGTTAGAAAAGATCTACCAAGATACAGAAATTAATAATGAAGCAGAAGAAAATCCAAGATGTGAGAGTGGTGAGCATTAGTCAAATCAGCCTGGGCCTCACCAACAAAGAAAAGAGTCTGGGGGTTATTAAAAGTAAAGTAGAAATGCACGAATTAGGAGAGTGATCTGGTCATATTCAGAAAAGCACTGCAGTAGCTGTGTGGGCAGTGGTTGGAAGAGGCAAGCGTGACAGCGAGAAAGCAGCATACATTTACTCTCTTACAGCTCTGGAACTCCAAAGTTTGAAATCAGTTCCAGGCCAAACTCCCTCTGGAGGCGCTAGAAGAGAACCTGTTCCCAGGCCTCTTCTGTTTCTCTAGCTCTTTATACATCACGTTCCTTAACTTTTTGTTTTTTCCTCTATCTCCAGAAGTATAGCTTCCTGCTTCAGTTGTTACACTGCCTCTTCTATCATAGAATCTCCATCTGCCTCTCTTTTATAGGGGATGTTATGATTACATTTAAAGACAACCTGGATAATCCAGGATAAAGTCCCCATCACCAGATCCTTAATTTAATTAATAACTACGAAATCCCTTTTGCAATATAAGATAGCAACACAGGTTTCAGAATTAGGATATATAATCTTTGGGAACATTACTCCATCTACTTTAAAAGACAAAGGATTTGAAAAGGTCCCAATATCAAGTTCTGAGGAATGTGCTGAAAGAGGAGAGTGACTAGCAAAAGAGATTGAGAAGAAATAGAAATTGAGGAAGAAGGAAGCTCACAGAGCCAGGGGACTACAGAGATGTCCAGAGGGAAGGAACTGACAGTTGTTGCTGAGAGGTTGAGTAATAAAAAGATGGAAAGCTCTTTGCTTTCCATTTTTTAGTGGAAAACATCATTGATGATTTCATAGAGTAGTATAGAAGGAAAAACTTATAACTGGGGGAATTAAGTCTGAGAAAACAGGAAGCAGAGAACCTGGCCATGCAAGGAGCAAGGGCACTTCTTCCACGGTAAGAGAAGAAAAAGACATGTGTTGATGAAAGGAGGGGCTAATTGTCCCAAAAGAGCGAAGCTGAGAATGAAGGAGGATTGTGTGTTTGAGGAGACAATGTTTGAGGGGTCATATTATTTGTAGAGATACATTATTTTTTCCATTTTCTCTAGTCATTGTGATTAAATACCTAAAAGACAAAACATTTTTTAACCATCACTTTCCCCATTTAATGGCAGGTAATTTTGAGTGAAAAAAATCCAAATAGCCATCTTCTAATATGTGAAACTTTATTAAAAAGAGAAATGGTGCAATAAAACTACTTTTCTTTCCATTAAAAAAATAAACCAAGTGAAACAGAAAAAACATAACTTAATGATGTGTTGTCATAGTAAAGGTGAGTAAATAAGGCATTTACCATAATTATTATTATATAATTGTACAGCCTACACATGTTGAAAACTGTAGAGCTTGTACTACAAAATCACAGTGGTTAGCAGGCTGAAATTCAAAATCTTTTGGGTAAAAAAAATCTTTTGGGTACGCTATTTGATACAACATTCAAGCAAACTACAAACAGACTCATTAGCATTTTCATCCTGTTTTATGTAAGACTATAGATTCTAGCAGATTACCCATTTCCCCTCACTAAAAAGATGAGAAAGTATAAAAGTTTCCACCACCAGAGTATTTATTAGGCTGTACTCGTTCACCTGGACACTCAAATGATCCACTGTTAAGGCAGATGTTCTAATATCACTCTTCTGGCATCAGCAGCTTGCCCTGAGCTAAGGGCAATTTCTTAGTCTAATAATAAACAACTTTGCTTTTATCAATCTTGCACCTAATGTCTAGACATGCCTACAAAGAGGGTGCATTACCTCACAATGGCTGAATTTAGTTATTCAATATTTTATTTTTGCATGTGAGTCTTGGAAATTTTAATACTTACCTTCAAAGTTGATTTAATGGTTTAAAAATTACCACTGAGACTCTTTTTCTAAACTTTCCTTTTTTTCTCCTCCCCTCAAGAGCTATGGCTTTAAGAGTCAGGGAATCTGGGGTTTTTAGAAAGCCTTCTTCCCTCAACCAGTCAGCTGCATTGGTGAATTCCTCCTCATGTTCCTGACATGATGACACTATTCTTATTTCATAGAAGATGGAGACCTGGGAAGATTCCCCCTAACTCAGCGAAAAATCAGACTCAAGATTCAAGCCCAGACTTGAAGTTCTACCCCTTACTGAGACCTTGCAGGAAACCTTCAGGTCTCTAACTCACAGTGGGAAAACCAAGCCTGCTCCTTCACAGATTCTAGCCCTCCCAAAATCTGAAATAGAAATATAAATTCCCTAGTTAATTTTTGAAAGTACAGATATTGCTATGGAAACAGTGTAAAAACATATAACATGAAGTGAATTGTAAACATTCAAGTATTTCTACAGTTTTGAATAAAAACAGCAGCAATTAAAAAAAACCCTTATAACTTTGCCTTGTATAATAAACAGTGCACAGGCTATTTATAGTAAAAGGGAAGAGGCCAGGAGAGGTGGTTAAAGCCTCCAAAAATTCATTTGATCTAATTCTTCACTAGATACTGATTTAAGACATTTCCATGAACTCTTTAGAAACTTATTTTCCCTGGAATGACTAAGGGAAACATTTCAAGTAACTGTGATAAAAAAATTAATGTTATTCTAATTAGATAGACGTCTGAGTCATTATAACTAGAAGTTGTTCATCTAGAAACTGATGGTTAGCAAAGAAAACACTTTAATCTAAAAGTTATGAAACAGGGGGGAGAAATGAACAAGCCTTGTATGCACATATGAATAATAAAGAAAAAGGAAAAAAAAATAAATAAAAGTTATGAAAGATGAAATATGAAAATATCTTTCAGGGGGTTTCCCACTTAAGCAAATTTGTTCAGAGAACAGACTAAGGATAGGCATTTCTCAGTCCTGTGCATTCTCCTTTTTCTGTATATTTTATACCTGAGGATTATTCACAGCCCATTTAAAAATAAATAAATGAAAGCAAATTGCTTTGGATGATGCTACAGAGGATCAGAAGCCTGATCCAGGATACAGTATAAACCTTCCTTGGTGAACAATGCTTTGGTCCATTTTCCTGGTTGGCGCACCATCTAGCCAGCTGTGGAACCTCACAGCTGCTGCCAAGAAAGGCCAGAGAGTTCCCAGAGCATCCGTGGGGAGTGCACAGGACTGGACTTCTCGGTAAGCCATCTGCCTCCTTGCAGAGCGGAGTCTAAGGGACAGAATCATAGTGGCAATCAGGAAGAGGAGTCCAGTGATGAAGAGAGTGACCAAGGCTGCCTTGGCTCCTCTTGGGCCCAGATTCTTGCCAAAGAAATAGAGCTCCTCTTTGCCAGGTTGTTCTGTGAAAAAAGAAAAGTGAGGCATCAGGCACCTGCTTCTAAACATTGAAGCATTCACACACAGACACAGGAGAGGATATCATTACCATTGGAGGGCACCACAGTTGGGTGGGATACTCCTCCAGAAGGAGACTTAGTGGAGTATGGAATCCTGTTGTCTGGACCAAAAAAAAAAAAAAGGTAAGTTGATTGTATTACAGATAAGGGTAGGAGATTCTTTTCATGCCATAAGTCACGTCTTTTTACCAATGAGGATTTTGCCTCACCAACATCTCTCTTTCTTGGATTCTCACTGGGCTACTTCACTCCAGTACACATGCATTTGTACTCCTCCACCTCTAGCTTCTGCTCACCCACTGACCTCTATCCTGAGCATCATGGGATCTAAAATGGTTCATATACCATGCCCTCCTGCCACTGCACTGGACCTGGTCCTCTTCACTCTGTTACAGCACATATCACACTCCATTATGATTACGTATCTACATAGCTGACTCTCTTACTTTACTATGAGCTCCTTGCGGAGCAAATCTGTGTTTTTCTTATGCCTCCTGACTTCCAGGTGTACAGGAAGCTTGGTACCGGCATCTGGCATCACTGACAGACAATAGTACCTATGTTCCGGAGTACTGTGTAGGTTGTCTCCATGCCAGCATGGATGTGGTCAGACACATGACAGTGTAGTAGCCATGTTCCTGGGTGATCTGCAAACAGTTCAATGGTTTGGAATGTCCCAGGAAAGAGATCGTATACATCTTCTCGGTAAGATTTATCTATCTGCAAAAATTTTTTAAAAAATCTTATGAGTCAACAAAGAAGAAAGAAAAATAAGAGCAAAGAAACACAGAGTAAGTATAAGTAAGGAAATGGTAAAGAGCAGAAATTCATAAAAGCAAAAATAGAAACAAAATAAAGAAAAAGCAAAGAAATCCAAAGTTGGGTCTTTGAACAGATCAATAAAATTGGCAAAGCTTGTAGTGGCCAGCTTCTATGATACCCCTAGTACCCCCGTTTTCTGATATTCATAACCTTTATAGTCTCCTTCTATGCTATATGAGACCACTATTATATGGCAGAAGTAACAGCATTCCATTTGCAAAATTAGACTACAAAAGATACAGCTTCTTAGACCCTTTATTCTCTCCTCTTAGATTAGTCACTCTGGGTGGAGCCAGCTCCTGTGCTATACCTGTATAATGAGGAACTGAAGCATTCAGTCAACAGCCACATGAGTGAACTTGAAAACAGATCTTCTGGCTCCAGGAAGCCTTTGACAACTGCAGGTCCAGCTAACTTGACTACAGCCTCATGAGAGATGCCGAATCAGAACCAATTAACTAAACTATTCCCAGACTACTGACCCAGAGAAACTGAGATAATAAGTGTTTTCTGTCTTAGGCCACTGAGTTTTAGACTAATTTGTTATACAAATCTCTAGACAGACAGATCAAGAAAAAATTAAAAACACAAATTACAGGTATGGGGAAGAGAGAACATCACCAAGACCTTACAAACACAAGAAAGAATAATAAAGAAATATTGTATATAAATAACTCTGTGTCCATAAACTCTGTAACTTAAAAGATATGAACAAACTGCCAAATATCACTCAAGAAGCAACAACCCAAATAGCACTATATCTAATAAGGAAGCTTAAATTATATAATATGTATATTCTAACAGGGCCAAATAAAGTCATTGGCACATTCTATCAAATATTTAAAGGAGAAGTAATATCAATCTTAAATAAACTTCTAGAAAATAGAACAGGAGGTAACTCTTTTTTTATTTTTTTTCCTTTATTGTTGTGCTGGGTAGAGGTAAATTGTGGCATTTGCAAAAGTTCTTACAATTTTTCAAATATATCAAACTTGAGTTCACCCCCTCCACAGCTCTCCTTTATCCTCCCCTCCCCAATTCCTGGAATACTTTCAACAGGTATCATTTTTTATCATTTACATACATGTGTACACGTTTTTGCTCTGTATTCACCCTCCTACCCTTTTTTCCTTGTCACCTCCCCAACAAATACAACACTTTCAATCATTTTATGAGGCTGGTTTTGCCCTGATACCCAAACCAAACAAATGTAAGAAAAGAAAGCTACAACCAATATTACTCATGAACATAGATGCAAAATTCTCCAACAAAATGCTAACGAATAAAAAAATAGTGTATCATGACCAAGTAAGGTTTATCCAGGGAATGAAAAGGTGGTTTGGCACCTGAAAATCAATACAATTCATCAGTGGACTAAAGAAGAAAATTATATGAACATTTCTACAGATGCAGAAAAAACATGTGATACAATTAACATCTGTTTATGATAGAAACTCTCAGCAAACTGAGAATAGAAGGAAAATCCCTCAACCTGGCAATAGGATCTATGAAAAAGCTACTATTAACTTTATAATCAGTAGTGAATGACTGAAGGCTTTCACCCTAAGATTAAGAATAAGACCAAGATACCTACTTTCCCTAGTCATACTTTAAATTATACTGGAGGTCCTAGCCAGTGAAATAAGACAAGGTAGGAGAGGGGGAAGGCATACAGTTTGAAAATAAAGAAACAAAATCATTATTTACAGACATGATTGTCTATGTAGAAAATCTCCCTAAAAATCTATGAAAAAGCAAGTAAAAAAGTTTCAGAATATAAGGTCAATGTGCAAAAAATCAACTATATTTTTATATATTGGCAATAAATAATTAGAAACTGAAATAAACACAATACCATTTACACCATCACCAAAGCTTAGGTATATGATATACTTAGGTAACATCAAAGAAAATATATGCAAGACATGTATGCTGAAAACTATACTGATGAAATAAATCAAAGAACACCTAAGTAAACAGAGAAATATACCATGATCATAGATTGGAACTCTCAATGTTGTCAAGATAAATTCAAAGCAAATCCAATAAAAATCCCAACAGGATTTCAAAATTGGAATCAATAAGCTGTCTCTAAAATTTGGATGGGAAGGCAAAGATGTTCCCATTAAAAACAAATCACTACCTAATTTTAACATTATTGTAACAAGAGAGGGTGAATTTGTTCAAGGCATACTGTACTCATGTATGGGATTATCACAATGAAATCCCCTCATATAATTAATGTGTGATAAATAAAAAATACAATTAATTTTTTAAAAAGAAAAATATTTAAAATCTTAAAAAAATTAAGAGCTGAGCACAACTGGCTCACTTCTGTAATCCCAGCTACTAGACGGGATCGAAATTCCAGGCCAAGGGGTTTGTAGAACTCCATCTTAACCAATAGCTGGGCATGGTGAGCATGCTTGTCAGGGCTGGAGGCATGGCTCAAGCCATAGAGCACCTACCTGGCAAGCACAAAGTCCTGAGTTCAAACCCTAGTACTGACAAAAAAAAGTGTGGCATTCAAGAAAGTACAGACATATGGATCAAATAACAGAATAGAGAGCAAAGATATAGACCCACAAATATGTGGGCAATATGATTTTGACAAAAGTGCAATGGCAATCCAATGGGAAAAAGAATAGGTTTTGTTTTTTGAGACAGGGTTTCACTATGTAGCCCACGCTCACCTAGAACTCACTAGGTAGCCTAGGGTGGCTGCAAACTCATGGTCCTCCTGTCTTAGCCTCCTTAGGCATGTGCCACCATGCTCAGCCCAAGAATAGTGGTTTTACTGAATAGGGATGGAATATTTGGCTATTTTTATGCAAAAAATGAACTAAATATAAAACCATAACACTTCTAAAAGAAAATAAAGAAGAAAGTATTTATAAGCTTGAGTTAGACAAAAAATTATTATATATGACACCAAAAGTATGAGCCACAAATTTAAAAAAAGATAACTTAAAATTGACCAATAATTAAGAATTTTGTTCTTTGAGATAATGTTATAAATAAAAAGACAAGCCATAAACTAGGAACAAATATTTGTAAATCACATAGCCTATAAATAATTTGTATCTAGATTATAATAAAGCTCCCAAACTCTACAGTAAAAATAAATAATCCAAAAAATTTTAAAGACATAATCTATGCTACTCAAAGACATCTATACATTCAAGGTCATTTCTATTAAAATACCAAAAACATTCCTTACAGAGCTAGTAAAGACTCCTAAGATATTTATGAAACCACACACATACAAGCTAACACAAAGATACTGGGTGCACGTGGTTCTCGCCTGTAATCCAAGCTACTCAGGAGGCAGAGATGAGGAGGATCACAGTTTGAAGATAGCCCAGGCAAAATAGTTCACAAGACCCTATCTCAAAAACACCTAACACAGAAAAGGGCTGGTGAAGTGGCTCAAGTGGTACCACACCTGTCTAGCAAGCATGAAGCCCTGAGTTCGAACTCCAGTACCACCAGAAAAAAAAAAAACACAGAATAGCCAAAGCAATCTTGAGAAAAAAGAACAAAGCAGAAAACACTAAACTACATGACTTCAAAATATACTATAAACTCTAATCATCAAAACAGCATGGTGTTGGCATAAAAACAGACATGAAAGAAAAGAATATAGAGCCTAGAAGTAAACCCATGTGTCTAGAGTCAACTGATTTCAACAAAGGTGCTAAGAACACACATTGAAGAAAGAGGGACTTTTCAATCAATGGTGCTGAGAAAATTGGGTATCCACATTCAGGAAAATGAAACTAGATTCCTGTCTTTCACTATTTACAAAAATAAGCTCAAAGTGGCTTAAAGGCAACCATAAGAACTGAAACTGTGAAACTACTAGAAGAAAACATAGGGAAATTCTTTAAGACATTACAATAGTCAGGATTTTTTTAGACAGACCCCCAAAAGCACAAGAAATGAGAACAAAAATAGACAAATGTGATCACATCAAACTAAAAAGCTTTTGTACAGAAAGGAGAAACAATCAACCGAGTGAAGAGACAGCCCATACAATGAGAGAAAATATTGTAAACTTTTAACTCCTCTGAAAAGGGATTAATATTCAGAATATATAAGAAATTAAAAAACTCAATTGCAAAAGGCAAATAACTCAATTAAAATGGACAAAAGATCTAAACAGATATTTCTTAAAAAAAGATATACAAATGGCAAACACATACATGGAAAAATGTTCAAATCACTAATTATCAGGAAAATACAAATCAAAACAACAATGAGATATAACCTCACCCTGGTAAAAATGACTAATATCAAAAAGACAGAAAAACAAAAGATGCTGGCAAGGATATGGAGAAAATGGAACACTTGCACGCTATTGGCAGGAATGTAAGTTAGTGTGGCCATAATGGAAAACAATGTGGAGGGTCCTCAAAATATTAAAAATAAAACTACCATGCCTAATGCCACTAGTGTATATATTCAAGAGAAAGGAAACCAGTTTGTCAAAGAGACATCTGTACATTCATGTTCATTGCAGCTGAATTCACAATTGTCAAGAAATGGAAATGATCTATGTGTCCAAAACTGATGAATGGATAAAGAAACCGTGATATTATTCCACCATGAGAAAGGATGAAATCCTGTCATTTTCAGTGACATGTATGAATAATGACCACATTATCTCACTCATATGGGAGGGGCAGGGGGAGAGCTGTTGATCACAGTTAGAAAAGGTTCTGGTGAGCTGTTGCCCAACAGAGTGACTATAGATAATGTACTATGTATTTCAGAAAGCCACAAGAAAGAACTTTGAAATGATAAATGTTTGAAGAGATAGAGACGTCTACCCTAATTTGGACATTACACAATGTACACATGAATGGCAACATCTCATGGACCCCCACAAATACATACAATTTTGGTGTTTTATACATCAGTTAAATAAACGTTAAATTAAAAAGCAGCAACATGGGCATAAAACTCATTCATTTCACCAAAGAAGATTTATAGATGGTAACACATGAAAGCACATGAAAAGATGTTCCATATCATTAGCTGTTAGGAAAATGTAAATAAACAGTAAGATACACTACATGTATAGTATAATGGCTAAGAAGAAGAATAAAAACTCACAAAAAAAGTAGCGCTCTCATATGTTTCTGCTGGGAATGCAAAATAGTGCTACCTCATTGGACATAACTTGCCAGTTTCTTATAAATGTACACTTACCACAGGGCTTATCAGTTTTGCTCCTACAGATTTTCTCAAGGGAAACAAAAGCTTATATTCACATAAAAACGTGTACAAATGTTCACAGTGGCTTTATTTGTAGTAACCAACCTTAGAAACAATCCTAACATTCTTTAATAGGAGAATAAATGAATGAACTGCATTATATCCATACAATGGACTACTACTCAACCATCAAATGAAACAAACCACTGAGGCACTTAAGAGGATGAAATTGAAATACCTATGTGGAATGAAATAAACCAGATTCAAGATGTACAAACAATATAACTTCTAGAAAAGGTAAAACTGTAGAGCTTGTCTTAGCCTGTTTTGTGCTGTTATAACAGAATACCTGAGAGTGGTTTATTTATAAAGAATATAGACTTCTGCTGGGTGCTGGTGGCTCACACTTGTAATCCTAGCTACTCAGGAGGCAGAGATCAGGAGGATCATGGTTTAAAGCCAGACCAGGGAAATAGTTCGTGAGACCCTATCTCAAAAAAAAACCTTTCACAAAAAAGGGCTGGTGGAGTGGCTCAAAGTGTAGGCCCTGAGTTCAAGCTGCAGTACCACAGGGGAGGAAAAAAGAATAGAAACTTCTTTCTTGTGGTTTTGAGGTTAAGAAACCCAAGGTTAAGGGACCAGCATCTGGTGAGGGCCTTCTTACTGTATCATGACATGGCAAAAGGCAGAAGGACAAGAAAATACCCACACAAGAACTCAAGAGACCAAAGTAAGTCTCTAGCACACAAACTTTGGAGGATACATTCACATCAGAGCAGAGACAGAAAATAGATCAGTGGTTGGACAAGTAAGTGACACGAGGGATGCAGTGGAAAACTCTGGGAGGTAATGGAACTATTGTGTTTTGATTGTTTTTGGTTACACTACAGAACAAAATTGTACAGTAAATAAGGTGAATTTATGCAATGTAAGTTATATCTTAATTTTTAACGTTTATATAGGTATATGTAAACTTTATATAATTTTATAATTTTTTGTGGTACTGGGGATTGAGCTCTACCATTTGAGCTATTCCCTAGTTCTTTTGTTTGTATTTTGTTGTTGAGATAGGGTCTTGCTAACTTCACCTGCGCTGGCCTCAAACTCACGATGTTCCCACCTCCACCTTCAGAGTAGCTGCCACCATGCTCAGCTCTATTATTTTCTAAATTTTTTATTTAGTTTTTAAAATGAGTATTGAAAAAGCCAAATTCAAAAAGCAGCATAGCTATTTAATAGTGGAAGTCTAATCACTATATTAGCCAATACAGTCAATACTTGGTGCCCTTCAAAATATACAGAAAGGAGAGGATATTAGATCTTTTATGAAATTACTGTTTATCCCTGTTCAATGAGCACAGGACAGATTCTGCCCCTCCCTCAGATTAGATTACCATTCTCTATTTCCTTGTAGATGGTACTGAGAATTTGAGATGGCTGACTATGTGGACTTTTTCCCTGGAGACTGATTTTTCAGGTCTGTTTTCTCAACAGCTCCCCAGGTGACTCTGCTGTATGGTTAGCACCACCCATATGGTATAGCTTGGTGCCAAGGAGTAGGTCACACATGGTCCAGCTCTCTATGGCAAAACTCAGGATAACTTTGGGGGCCCAAGCCAGAGCTCATAATTTCTCCCTTATTGGATAGGGCTATTCTGTTAATCACAAAGAAAAGAAAAGGAGGGAGAGAAAAAGGGCCAGTAACAGGGACTAACATTATGGTCCCTGTTATACAGTATTAATACATAATCCAGGATTATGAGAATTATAGCCATGTAACTGATGAGATAACTCTTATCTGAGACTCACAGATTTTTGTTTTCTGTTTGTTTTTGTAATACTGGGATTTGAACTCAGGGTCTGTGCTTGCTAGGTAAGTGCTCTACCACTTGAGCCATGCTCCAAGCCCTTTTGACTTTAGATGTATTTTTAAATAGGATCTTTCATTTATGCCCAGGCTGGCCTGGACCACATTCCTCCTTTTTATACTTCCCACACAACTAGAATGTCAGGCGCAAGCATCACTACCAGCTTTTGTGTTGGTTGATATGAGGGTCTTCCTAACTTTGGCCCAGGCTGGCTTTGAACCCAGATTTTCTCAATCTCTACCCTCAAGTAGTTAGTGTAATAGGCCTGAATCACCACACCCAGACTCACAAAGTTTGTGTCTTGCCTAAAAAAAGAAAAATAAGAAATAATACACACATGTATAAAGAAATATCCACCAGTAAAAGGTATAATCATACTATTCTGTTCCATTCTCTCATATTAACCCCTCATGAGCATCATTTCCAAGTAACCATCTTATTTACCACTGGAAATACATTGACTCTGTTAAAAACAATTTCCCCAAACTGGTTAGCAGTCTGCAAAAAACTGAAACTAGATTCATGTATATCACCCTATACCAATATTAACTCAAAATGGATCAAGGATCTTAATATCAGACCACAAACTCTAAAGTTGATACAGGAAAGAGTAGGAAATACTCTGGAGTTAGTAGGTATAGGTAAGAACTTTCTCAATGAAACCCCAGCAGCACAGCAACTAAGAGATAGCATAGATAAATGGGACCTCATAAAACTAAAAAGCTTCTGTTCATCAAAAGAAATGGTCTCTAAACTGAAGAGAACACCCACAGAGTGGGAGAAAATATTTGCCAACTATACATCAGACAAAGGACTGATAACCAGAATATACAGGGAACTTAAAAAACTAAATTCTCCCAAAACTAATGAACCAATAAAGAAATGGGCAAGTGAACTAAACAGAACTTTCTCAAAAGAAGAAATTCAAATGGCCAAAAAACACATGAAAAAATGCTCACCATCTCTAGCAATAAAGGAAATGCAAATTAAAACCACACTAAGATTCCACCTCACCCCTGTTAGAATAGCCATCATCAGCAACACCACCACCAACAGGTGTTGGCGAGGATGCGGGGAAAAAGGAACCCTCTTACACTGTTGGTGGGAATGTAAACTAGTACAACCACTCTGGAAAAAAATTTGGAGGCTACTTAAAAAGCTAAACATTGATCTACCATTTGATCCAGCAATACCACTCTTGGGGATATACCCAAAAGACTGTGACACAGGTTACTCCAGAGGCACCTGCACACCCATGTTTATTGCAGCACTATTCACAATAGCCAAGTTATGGAAACAGCCAAGATGCCCCACTTGACGAATGGATCAAGAAAATGTGGTATCTATACACAATGGAATTTTATGCAGCCATGAAGAAGAATGAAATGTTATCATTCGCTGGTAAATGGATGGAATCGGAGAACATCATTCTGAGTGAGGTTAGCCTGCCCAAAAGACCAAAAATCGTATGTTCTCCCTCATATGCGGACATTAGATCAAGGGCAATCACAACAAGGGGATTGGACTTTAAGCACATGATAAAAGCAAGAGCACACAAGGGAGGGGTGAGGATAGGTAAGACACCTAAAAAATTAGCTAGCATTTGTTGCCCTTCAATGCAGAGAAACTAAAGCAGATACCTTAAAAGCAACTGAGGCCAATAGGAAAGGGACCAGGAACTAGAGAAAAGGTAGATCAAAAAGAATTAACCTAGAAGGTAACACACATGCACAGGAAATTAATGTGAGTCAACTCCCTGTATAGCTATCCTTATCTCAACTAGCAAAAACCCTTGTTCCTTCCTATTATTGCTTATACTCTCTCTTCAACAAAATTAGACATAAGGGCAAAATAGTTTCTGCTGGGTATTGAGGGGTGGGGGGGAGAGGGGGGGGAGTGGGTGGTAAGGGAGGGGGTGGGGGCAGGGGGAGAAATGACCCAAGCGTTGTATGCACATATGAATAATAAAACAATATAAAAATGAAAAAAAAATCAATTTCCCCAAGCATATTTCTTATACTTACTTTGAAAAGAAAGCTCTCAGTGTGGTAATGGATGGTATGTATATCTACTTCATTTCCTATTCCTAACAAATACCAGTTTGTCATTGTATCTTCGTTCATTATGAGGCCATGGAGATTTCCAAAAATCTTCCCATTAGTGGCTAAGAAAATGAAAAGACAATAGCTTCTGATCAATGCAAACATACTTACTACTTAACCTGGTTTTAGAACTAGTTCAAGATCATTAGTTCACAGGTATTCTTTTCTACCTGATAAATAAATAACAGCCTCACTAACTAATGACTCCCCCATTTTAGATTCTCAATTCAGATTACTAAGAAATCTTTGTACAAAGAAAGCCAGAAAAGAGAAATCAGTTTGTTTTTCAAAGCTATATGTTAGATGGCAGTATTGTTTGCTTATTTGTTTATTCAGTATATCCTTTTTTGGAAGTAAATGACAGGCTCATTTGTGAGAAGCCAAATTTATACCATTCTACAAATGAGTGTACTAAGCTACAAAGGATCCAGCATATATAAATCAACATTGAATTAATTATAAGTCATTTCTTTAATGTTTCATTTTCTGAGAACTAGCATAAGCCTGATGAACCTCCAAAAGGAGAGCTTCCCACAGACTGAACCCAGGACCTAACAATGAGCAAAGCTGAGTTTATGCAATGGTGAATATTATTCCTCTGCATCCTACTAATGCTTTATTCTGTGAATCCATGACATAGTCAAATAAGTTGCATTCATTAAAAGGAGAGAAAATACTAAGATATTTTTGAGAAAGGAAAGCAAAATTATAGGGAAAAGAGTAGCTGAATTGGGAATCAGGCCACAGTATTTTAACTTGTGTTAACAACTAGCTTTGAGAGATTGGGCAAGGCCCACCTTCAAAAGCAGGTCTTAGAGTACGTGGAAGTGTCGATCTGAACACATTATTCCTACCAAAATGAATTCCTTAAATGATACAGAATTAATTAGCAGATACATTAAGACAAAAATTCAGTGTTGGAGTTTCATGTTCTAGAAAATTAAATCAAATTTTTAAATTTAACCAAACAAAAGTTGTAATGATTCATATAACACTGATTTTTATATTTTGTATTAAACATTACAACTTGTTTGTTTTGTTTTTAAAAATTACTTCTTCATCACTTAAAGATCTTAGCATTCTGAGATAGATACCCCTAAAGACAGTCGGTACAAAGCCTCAATAACTTTGCTGTCAGACAACCCATGACTAGGCTGGTTCACTCTGAAAAAAATCTTTAGAGGACTTTCTTCAGTTCAGGTGCCCTTAAGAGGGAAAGGCCCAGAGAGGGAGGTGGCGGGGGGGTCTCCTACAGTGATAGGAATTTCTATGACCCTGGTCTTCCTTTGAATGTCTGATATACCATGCATTTTGTTGCTCTCTTCAAAATCATCAGTGTGTTTAAAATCTCGTGGATCTTTATTGAGATACTTCTTAATATTATCATCCAGATATCAGATTCATTCTCATTAAATGCCAAAAACAAAAGAGGAAACTCACAGTCAACATCACTTCTTTTTCCCTTTTCATTCAATACTCCTTCTCGACATGTAAACAGAGGACCCATCAAACCACTATATGTATCCTGGAATTAAAAAATAGATAAACCATTCAATATTTAATAATATTCCATTCCATCTGCTACCATTCTAGAAATATTTAATAATATTAAATATTAGAATCTAGAAATATTTAATAATATTCCGTTCCATCTGCCATCATTCTAGTATTAGAATCTAGAAATTGTTTCCTCTCTGGTCTCTAGCCCACACCACCTTCAGCTCATCCTACTACCACTATCAGATTAATCTAGTTGCTCCCATAATTAGAAGTCCTCAGGGACTTCCATGGCCTACAGAATAAAATATAATCCTTCAAGCCCCTCCATGTGCTTCCTCAATGAAATTTCTCTCTTGGGTTGCCCCGCTGCTTTCTTTTTGGGTCATATATGATAGTCAAATGGGACTCTCAATACTTCTCAAACACAGCTTCAGCTTTTGTACTTTGTTTTACTAATAGCATTTTTTTTCTCCCTAGACTCTGTCCAAAGCCTCCCATGGTACCATCCATAATCTACCACTCCTACAGAAGTGTGGATATGTTTTATTTTCCCCACAAAGTCATGTGCTTCTTCCAAAGAAGAATATTTGCATCTGGTATAGTGTTTGGTAGCATAATTTGCATGTCACAAGTACTCAATAAATATTTGTCTGGATGTACAAATGAATAAACAATAAGTATGTGTCCCATAATTCTAATCTGTAAATTTATTTTTCAAGTAACTTATATGACTATCTCCTAAGCTCCAGTACTGTGCAGTGTAACTCAAGGTCACTAATTCAAACCATGTAATATCAAAGAGGAAGATTAATATAGTCCCTCACTTGTTAAATAATGGGAAGTGCCTATGTTTTATATCAGGTATGATTTTAGTTAGGATTTGGTTTGACATAGCATTAAAGACTTGTAGTTGCTTTATATATACATACCTGACTCATTTATCAGCCTATTAATCATTCAAATATTTTTGAAGTTCCAGTTACTATGGCTGGAGTATGTTTTCTTTCCCTGATCCCTAGTAGCCCTGGTAACACCTTTAAAAATAATAGATTTCCCACACCTAAAACCATAAACAAATTACATTGTAAAATACTTTTTTTCTATTGACATATCCTCTTTTGCTTCAAACTGCCTCATAAGATCCATTCTTGGAAATTGAATGGAGCTTTTTTTTTTATTTCCCATACTTTAAATCAATGTTTAGCAAACTTTAAAATCTGTTTATAAGGCACTATATGGCAAATATTTTTTACTTCATGAGCTATACTATCTCTGTCACAACTACAGACAACATTAATGAATGAGCATGGTTGGATTTGGGAAGCAGGCTACAGTTTGTGACCACTTCTCTAAATCATATACTCTTCTAAAATGCCCTCCAGAGGTATGATGATTTGGATGGCCAACATAAGCCATGTTACACTGAACATCTTGGTAATCTATCCGCCTTACCTTCACAAAGTTTACTGTTGAATAGTAAACCCATGGAATACAATTAGGATCAGAGGGCCCTGGACCTGATCTTTTAGGGACATTCCATCTGTAAGTTTTTATTTCTCCTAAAATCAAAGAAGAAATAGAATGAGCTTGTGAGAGTTACCTCTGTTGCAGATGATTTACCTGAAGAAATACAAGCAGGTCTTTATATATTTTAGTCAATGTTTTACTACTGCTAATTATCATTAGAAATGATTATTAAACTCTTGTCTTGATTTGTACAATTTCATCATGAAAGAGTATATGTACCATTTCAGACTCTGCCTTCTCTATAGTTTGCCCTTTTCTATTGTTAACTATTATGTATTCAGGAAATCACAATTTATTTTATAGGTCACTGTTTTTCCTCAATTTTTGTATCTTCTCCTGAGAGCTATCCTCAGACTTTAGTTATCAGGGTCTTAGTCTGGGCCTCTTAAAGAAATCACCAGGGAGCTTTATAACTCTCTCTGCTCAGACCTCACTCAAGGTAAAGGAATCAGAATATTTTCAGTCTCAGATTCAGGCACCAGTATGTTTCAATAGTTTAGGGGTATGAGGGGCAGGTGAGATCCAGTTAGAACCAGAGAGACCTACTTCCAAATGTCAACCCTAGAGGTTTTTCTATTTAGACAACATTTGAGAAGCTACTTAACCTCACTGATATTTAGTTTCCTTACCTGTAAACTTGGTTAGTCACCTTAGTTCTCAGATTTTTGTGAGGATTAAATAAAATAATGATATAATGATGAACTGGGAGTGTGGATTAAGTGGTGGAGTGCCTGCCTAGCAAGTTCACGGTCCTGAATCAATCCCAGTACCATAAAATATATATATGAAATACATGGGATAGTGCCCATGAAGGCACTCCCATTGAGGGGAGTTAATAAATGTTGACTTTTATGTCTATTAATAACAAATGTATGTATGACCATGCATAGATAATGGGGAGGACCATTATCTATTCATTCCCTGTGGCTGACCCAGGACTTTGCACAAAGGAGATACCAATATAGCTAGATTTACTAGACAATAATTGCATTGCAAAAATTCCAAATAAAAACTACATTTAAATAATTATCTCCTTTGAACTATCCCACCCAACCAGAATAAATATGTGTGCCACATAAGTAATGCTTATATGCGACTTTGCTCCATTTTTGTCAATGTATCAGTGGGTAGTAATACACTAGGTCTGGTTTCCATTATGTTTCATTAAAACACTCTTGCCTTTCTAATGGCAAGCTGATATTAAGCTTCTTAAATACATGTGACTTCAGGAGTGGTGCTACTAAAGTTGGAATAATTCATTACTTGCCCAGCAGTCAGCACCATAATGAATGTAAAGAAGGTGTTCAGTAAATGTTTACTGAATAGTTTAACAAGAATAAGGAGAAACTCAATAGGAGTTGCTTTTATGATGCTTGTATTCTTTCCTTTTTTTTTTTTTTGTACATGTAGTTCTTCTATAACTTGCTTGGATTTCATGAAAAAAGTTAGTTCTTTCCTTCCCCCTCCAATCTCTGGGCTCTCCCAAACCTTTCAGCCTTGTCAGAGAACTTTGTAAGAAATCTCTCTCTCTCTGAGTTTGAATAGAAAAAAATGCTCCTTTTCACATTCTAGTCCATCCTCCTCCCTACTCCCATGACCCCTTACCTCAAGAACTTTTGGAAGGCCAGGCAACAGAGTTGCTGTATCTTGCTAGTCCTCACCATCAGGGCACAGTAGCCTGTCAGGGGGTCACCCCAGCTTGCCCACAGCCTTATTCTGAGAGCCTCCACCAATACCTAATGGGTACCTTTCTTTTCTGAGTTGTTTTTTGACCACTAAAAGTCAGTAACTTTTGCCAGGCACTGGTGGCTCATGTCTATAATCCTAGCTACTTAGAAGGCTGAGATCAGGAGAATGTGGTTCAAGGCCAACCTGGGCAAATAGTTATTGAGATCCCATCCCCAAAATAACCAGAGCAAAATGGACTGGAGGCATGGCTTAAGAAGTAGAATGCCTGATTTGCAAGTGGAAGCCCTGAATTCAAACCTCAATCCCACCAAAAAAAGCAATTAGTAACTTTATTTAATGGCTTACTAGTGAGAAACTTGAAGGTTTCCCACTAAGATCAGAAAGGAACACAGCAAAGATCTCCTCTCACTAATGCTTTTCAACTTCTTACCAGAAGTCCTACCTAATGCAAAAGACAAGAAAATAAAATAAAAGGTACACATAATTGGGAAGGAAGAAATCAAACTGTCTTTGTTTACAAATAACATGATCATCAGTGTAGAAAATCTAAAGTAACTGGCCACAATCCTTCCTGGTATTAATAAAAATTATATTAAAATGATAGGATACAAGATTAGTATCTCAACGTCAATAATTTTCTTATGTATTAGCAATGAGCAAACAGAATTTAAAATTAAAAACACAGTGCCACTTTACAGGTAAATGGATGGAACTGGGGAATATCATGTTAAGTAAGTAAGCCAGGCTAAAAAAGTCAAAGGTGACATGTTTTCCCTCATATTGGAAGCTAGTCCCATAAGTTAAATGATATATAAATACATGTATGATCATATATATATGTACATATGTAGTTAGAGAGAACAAATTTATATTAGTGGGTCTATCTGAGAGGATTACAGGAGGCAGGAGAGGGAAAGAAAATGTTAGAGAATGAAAATATTGAAACAACCCTTCTGTATATGAATATAATATAACATAATGCACTGTAACTGTTGACTATTAGGGAGCATGGCGATAGAGAAAGAGTGAGCATAATGGGGGGTGTTAATTTTATTAAAGCATGATATATAGATGCTTGAAATGCTAAGGTGAAACCCCTTGAATTATCAATATATACTTTTTGAAAATGAAGGACCTGGGGTAAAATAGGTCTTTTCCAGGAGTGGGTACCAGTAGGAGGGATGGGCATAAAGAAAGGGTGAATGAGGGAGAATATGGTAGACTATTTTATATTTTGTATGAAAATAGAACGATGAAGCTGTTGGAATTGTTCTAAGAATGAAGGGAGGAGGGAGAATGATAGAGGGGTAAATCTAACTAAGGTATATTATAACACATATGTAAATATCACAATGTATCCCCTGTCCAACTATTATATACCAATTAAAAATTTTTTCAAAAATATAGAGTACTACCTGTCAAAAAAACCCCGCACTGACACTTGTATTAACATCCCCTAAAATAAAATATATAGTTCCCCATGTAAAAAAGTACAAGATCTGTGAGGAAAACTACAAAACTGTGAAGAAAGATATCAAAGAATGGAATTATGTTCTGTGTTCATGGATAGGAAGGTTCAAAATTTCAAGATATTTGTGTTCTCAGGTTGACCTTAAATCCAAAATGATCTCAATCAAAATACCAGCAAGTTATTTTGTGGATACCAATACACTGACTCTAAAGTTTATGTAAAAAGACAAAAGACCTATTTAATATTCAAGAATAACAAGGTAGGAGGACTGGTACTAATGACCTTCTGGACATACTATTGTAAAGATGGTGGGGAGAAGTTGGTCAGTGGGTACAGCACCACAATTAGATAGGAGTAGCAAGTCCAGGCATTCTACCGTACAACTAGAACACTAAGTTAACAAAAAAGCATTGTATATTTTAAAATAGTTAGAAGACAAGGTTTTGGATATTTTCAGCATAAATAAATAATAAATGTTCAAGCTGATAAATATGCTAGTTTAATCATTAAAAATGTTCCCGGTATTGAAACATCACATCATACCCTGTAAGTACATGCAATTATTGCACCAATCAAAACAAAAAAGAAAAAAAAAGACTAACTGCAAAGCTATAACAATCAAGACTGTGGTGTTGACAAAAGTAAAAGACAAATATATCAATGAAAAGAACAGATATCCCAGAAATAGCCCCATAAATATAATCAGCTGATCTTGCCAAAGTAGCAAAGGCAATCAATGGAGAAAGATAGTCTTGTTAACATTGGTACTGAAACAACTGGACATCCACATGTATGAAAAAAATCTAGAAAAGAACCTCGTATCCTTTAAGAAATTAACTGAAAATAGATAGACCTAAATGAAAATGCAAAACTCTAAAAACTCCTAGAAGAAAACACTTAAATGGCCTGTTTATGGTAATGACTGTTTAGATACAACAGAAAAGATACAATCCATGAAATAAACAATTAATAAGCAAATTTATTAAAATTAAAGACTTCTAACTCTGTGCTTTACACTGCCAAGATAATGAGAAGACAAAACTGGGAGAAAATATTGTGAAATACACTCTGATCTGTAATCCAAAACATACAAAAACTATCAAAACTCAACAATTAAAAAAACCTGATTAAAATATATGCAAAAACCTAAAAACTTCACCAAAGAAGCTATACAAATAGAAAGTAACTATGTAAACAGGTGCTCAACATCATCTGTCTTTTAGAGAATTTCAAATTAGAACAATGATGTGATAGCATACCTACCTATCAGAATGGCCAAAATCTAAAACAACAAATTCTGACAATGAAGTGGAGCAACAGGACTCTCATCACAAACTGAGAACACAAAATGGTACAGACTTTGGAAGACAATTTGGCAGTTTCTTAAAAAAACAAAAACAAAAACAGAACTACACACGTTTGCCATTAATTGTGCTCCTCAGTATTTACCCAAAGAGATTAAAATTTATGTCCATAGTAAAAACCTAGGCATGGATGTTTATACCAGCTGTATTCATAATTGCCCAAACTTGGAAGTAACAAGATGCCCTTTGAAAATGAGTGGGTAAACTGTGGTACAACCACACAATGGAATATTATTCAATGCTTAGAAAAAATGAGCCTATCAAGTCATGAAAGATATGTAGGAAACCAATACATACAGCTGAGTGACAGGAGCCGATCTGAAAAGGCTACACACTGGATGGTTCCACCTATATGACATTCTTGAAAAAGCAAAACTATAGAGCCAGTAAAAAAACTGTGAGGTACTACTATGGTAGACACGTATCACTGAGTGTTTGTCAAAACCCAACATTGTTTACACACCAAGAGGGAAACCTAATGCAAATTATGGACTTTGGATGACAATGGT